CAACGATTAGGAAGTGAACCAGGCAACACAGGAAAGATACATCAGAAAGATCCTGGGCTGCACTTTTTGAAGTAAGTACAACGATCCAGCCTGAAATCAGCAGAGATGTGCAGCAGGTGAGTGGAGTCCAGGATGGCACAGATACCCAGATGACGCCCTTGTGGTCATTCATTTACAGGTTACAGAGATTTCCATCCAGACAACAAGCATCTTAACTGGGAGAGAGAAAGGGCAAGGAGGAGTTGTTTTGGGTGGGATAGTGAGATTACCAACAGCTTTTATACCTCCTACTCATCTCTGCAGATACTGATATGACACTTCTAGGGGATGATGATGATGATGGGCCATAGGATGGACATTCAGCAAAATATAGCCTTGCAACAACAACATAAAGACAACTGTAATGTCTGCAAGCATGGGGCAAAACAGAACCACAGGTCCTCACTGACTGGACAAGCACACACACTCATTTATATCATTTCTCAATAACTGTTTCCAGTTGGACCAGCTTCTACATATATCACACAGACACATGTTACAGCATGAGTGCATGTTTTTAACATATAAGTGTAACAATATTTGAATCCTTTAATCACCCATCAGATCTTCATTTCTGGATCATCCATTCAACCAAGTCATTGACAGCACTGCTCTGATACAAAGTCATAGTAGTATATGCACCCTGCTCTCTGCCTTCCTTCCTATTTTAAAACAGTTTGTTTTCTTGTCCACAGTTAAAGTGTTTCAGGAAATTGCGTCTATTTTAATCAGTGAAGTGTAAAATAGCTGAGCTGAGGTAATAGATTGACTTTTCATCTGAATCATTATTGACTGAAATTAAGGTCCTAATACTGAATAAAAGATTAAAAAACGATGAACCCGTGTAATAATACTGACAATAGAATAAAGTCAATTCAAAGTTGCTCTGTTATCACTTATTGGTAGTGATTGTTTGGCCACGTGACAGCAGTATTTATTTTTTTATTTAAAAAAGAAACCCAACAATCTTCACCCTCCAGGGCCAGTTTAGTATCACCAATTAATCAAACTCCATGCAGGTCTTTGGACTGTTTGAAAAAACCCTGAGAAACAACCCAGTGAGAACCCCCACAGACACGGAGAGAACATGCAGACTCCTCACAGAAAGGGTCCAAACAGCAGGTGGATTCAAATCCTGGAACCAGAATAAACCAGGAAATAAATGAATGTGTATTTTTCGTCTTTCAGAGGTGGATTGTTTTTGATTTCCTGATTTTGAACCTGTATGATATCAAAGACACACAGGTGGCTGGAGCTCAGGTGGTAGAGCCCGTCACCTACTAATCTGAAGGTTGGTGGTTTGATCCCCGTCTGCTCCATCAGAGTACGAATGTTAGATAGGAATCTCTTACATAGAGAAAGAACCTAGAGAAAATATGCTTGGTTGAAAGAGGCAAATTCGAGTACTCAGAGTACAATAAGAACTGGTCCATTTCCCATTTACACACCAAACTGTCACTCAGGTTACAATCAGAGCAGCCCCTTCCTCCAGAGGATGTTTTGATGGCCAACCCTCATTTGTGAAGTCCATCAGTATGTTTCTGCCTGTTCATGTTAAGTGACGGCTGTGTGCAGACAGGAATAGGACCCAAGGTGCAGACTCCAGAGACAAACTTAAACCGAAACAGCTTTAATGCTGAACTCAAACATAACATAACTGGAAAAAATCAAAATAAACTAACACCGGCGGACTGACAAAACACACATCAAAATAAACAGTAGATCACGACACGGACACAGAGAAACACAGGGCTTAAATACACAGAGGAGCAATCGGGGAATGAGTAACAGGAGGGAAACACAGCTGAGGCAAATCAGGCCTAACGAGACAAAGGAAGCAAAACCAGACACATTAACATGAGACATGGACTTTCAAAGTAAAAGAGGAAACATAACAGAGACTGAGCAAAAGACACAGACTCACATGCAGCTACTACTTATATATGACCAACTAATGTGATTGGCCAGTCATTAGCAGTGAAATATTAAATAAAATATTCATTCTGTTAGAGTCTGACACACAAAATAACTGTAACGTGTGTGTGTGTGTGTGTGTGTGTGTGTGTGTGTGTGTGTGTGTGTGTGTGTGTGTGTGGAATATAGATTGAGACATTGTTACACTGTTACATGTTTAAATGCACTGAGCTGCTGTGATGTGATTGGCTCCTCACATATTTGCATTAACAAACAGTGGGACATGTGTACATAATAAAATGGCCAGTAGGTTTGTACTGTGATTAGAACAGTTACTCTTTTATCACATGTTGCATGTTGATTCTTCATAAATGTGCATTTATTTAAATCTCACTGTCTCCGCTTTCTGTGGAGGGCACAGATGAGGTCATAACATCATTACATTGTTACTGAAAGCATCACAATTAAAAGTATGCAGAAAATGAAATTTGAAGTTAATGATAATAATTGTGTAAACTACACTTTAAAAGTGGAGATATAAGTATTTCATTTATAAAAATAAATATATAAAGTTAGTTTGTACTATGTGATCTGAAAGTACTGGATGCTTTCAGATGATCTTTCAGTGTTGGAGGGCTTGTTGTTGCCATTAAGTGTCAGTAGATGGCAGCACCAGGCTGCAGTTTAAGCTTGATCATCAGAGGGACATAGCTGATCTGTGTGTGTGTAGTCCCCTCATCCAAACTAGAGAAGATTGTGCATGAATATTAGTCATCATGCACAAATTACTCTCCTGTTTACCGGCTTAAATAAATCATCTCTTTCACCTCCAAGCGATCCAAAATGCTCCTGACACGCTCTAGCAAGAAAACTCACATTATTGCATTTTTATTCCCCAACCCTGAATTGCACAACTGGAATAAAAACGGATGGTAAGATGGATAATATATAAAAAGTTTCAGATCACATAACATCTGCAGATGTTTTTCTTTTTTCTCTTTTTTAAACACAGTTTAGCCACAGCAGTGATTCTTGATATAAGGGACAAAACATGTCCGGCAGATAAAACCCAATTTTGTGGTTAAAAATATGCATACAAGTGTTAACCCAACTGCCTAAAAGACAAACCAAGGCAATGTTTATACAACAAAACTATGATTTTGCATTTTTTATAAATATATATTTATTTTAAATGGTACAATACATTACCAGTACCTTAAAAGTCCATTGTCCAGAAGCAGGTGTGATAATATTAAAATACAGAAAAAAAATTAAAAGTAATGTAAAAGTAAACATCATGGCTCTCGTCACTAAGTATTTAAGTCAATACCTTATATAATATCAAAATATGCAATTGAAAATTAATTTTTAAATATTTTTTAAGTGATTAAAATCGTGTCCAGAGTTTTTGTCAACACCGTCAGATTTTTTCAAAAGTACAAAAAAATCAGGAATTATTGTGGGCAGCTTACACTCTGAGGACCCTTTTACCAGTTCCTGTTTGATACATATGCCATGAGGTCACTGCTGTCATATTTTTTTTGTTTTTATTTCATTTATTGCACACCTTTCTGATAAAACTCTGTGTCACAACCATAGTGTGTCAACACCAAAGTCGATGTAAACCAAGATTTAATTATTTTTTTTGTAATAAGAGCTTAATTTAGGTAGATTGTAGAGGCCATAAGCAAATGATGAAAAACAAGATGGCTTCTGTCAGAAAAACATGTGTTATGAGAGAAAGTAGGGTATTTTGTCAGCACCATCAGATGTCAACACCATCAGGATTTTTGTCTGACGGTGTTGACCCTTTTTCTAATGATGTTGACAAATGCCACAAAAGTTTGCTATTCATCATTTATATTAAGTCATTTTTTATTAATATTTCAGACATATTACTTCCTGTGTATTTTACTGATATTTCTGCTTCACAGATGTGTCAAATATTATCAAATTTGCCTTATCTTGAATCTCATTGTTTATGTATACATTATTAATCCTGTAGGAAAATGCTTAGTCCTCTGCATTTAACCCATTCACTCAGTGATGCAGTGGGCAGCTACCAACCCAGGTTAGCCTCTGCTCATTGGATTTGGATTAAGCCTGTTGTGCTGTTAAAATGTTTTAATGCTTTTTATCTTGTTCTATTACATCTGAATTTAGACAGGTTGTAACTCTCAGTGATGCTGCAGAGTTCCTTTGACTTTGGGATCTGCAGCCCAGGTTGGACCTGGAAATGGCTAATGACATCAGACTTAAAGACCAGATAGCATTTCTATTGCTTAATGCATAATTGTGTTGTGAATATTCATCCTTAATCTGTGAAAAAGCATAAGGTTCAGAAAAAATATAGTAATTAAAAAAATGGTACATTTCAGGCTAGAATAGCAAAGGGAAACCTGTCAGTAGAGGAACGAAAGAGAGGGAACAGGGATGATCAAAAAAGAAGGAGAGAAAAAATTAACAGCCAGCCTGAGTTGAAGAAAGAGTTTCTCATAAAGGAAAGATGGAGAAATAGAGTGAAAGAGGGAAAAATAAAGAACACCAGTGATCTGAAAGGAAGAGAAAAAAGTCAGAAGAGAAGGTTTTGGAAACAAGCACAGAGACAAAAGGAGAGAAAGTACAGCAGGGTCTAAACACACAACCACAGAGAACTTTAGGAATCAAGGAGTAGTAGGCAGCTACTTTCTGGTGAACTATTAAGATGTAGAACTTGACATGTGCAAAAACAGAATTGTTATGATGTGTCTTGTGATATTACAAAGGTTGCTAAGGTTTAATTTTCATTTTGAAAGAAATAATATCTTGTTTTCTACTAGAGTGTCACCACCGTCAGCACCTTGTCAACTCCATAATATGGAGTTTTTGTTTATTTTTCTCTTTTGGAGAACCATATAGTTTCCTCCCTCATGATCTTCCAATAAAAATACGTAATTTTCTCAATAAATGTGTAATTTGCATGCTGCTTAATATGACTGTTTCTTATACAGATTAAATACAAGCTTCTGAAAATATGTATGACTGTAACTCTAATAATAAAAAGCCAAAACAATCTTACTTTTAAATGTGGTATAATTACTTTGAAAACATATGTGCATAAACAATAGAATAGAGAAGCTGCTAATAGTCAAAAGAGCTGAAACAACTTAATTTAAAATATATATTTTTGCATTTCTTTGTGTCTGACGGTGTTAACAAAAACCTTGCACTTCTCCAGCAAAAACATAAATTATTAAAAAATGTTACACCTGGGAGATTGTACCAAGACATGGTGAGACTTTGTGTAACAATTATATGTAAATATGTTTTTGAAATATCAAAAAATATATTTTAGAAAATGAAAACCTGTTTTGTCCCTAATCTCAGGAATCACTGACAGTATACATAAAAAATCTCAGTAAAATATAGAAGTCTGCTCACACACCCTTATTTTTTTTAAAAATTCATCTTGAACCATGATGGAGACAAAGGACAGCAGCTGTACATTTTTGCCTCTTCTTGCTTCTCTTTGATGTCGATTTCTCCATGAGTGACATCTTCTGTTCTCACTGCTGAGTCGACTGCAGCTGCATCACTCTCTGCACAAGAAAACACATAAAGCGAGCATCAGTGCAGGGAGTACAGTCCTATAGATACTGCTGCTGTTACATTAACGATGACATAAAAATCATTCAGATTAATTATGCTCCACCTTTTTGTGCAGGACTCAAATGGGACATGATAGAAAACTGATCAGGTCCAGCTGTCAGGTTGTTGTGTGCGGGCGAGGAAGAGATGACCCAAACGCAGGACTCATGGTGCAGAATGATGAGGATTTATTGGAGCGAGTGAAAGAACAGAGCAGGAACGACAGGACTGACTAACTGACTGGAAGACTGAATGGCTGGCTGAACAGCTGAACAACTGAACACAGGCGGAAACGACAACAGTGACAACATCAATGACACGACGGTGAAGGAGTGGAAACAGAAGACTGATGAGGATGATAATGAGAGACCGGTGAGCACACAGCTGAAAATAATGTGGCTCACGACACATTAGACGAGCTTACACAGGAAACAGGAAGTGAAAAAACATGGATGTGGCAAAATCTGTGCTCTCCTCCTGTCTCATTCCCTCATTATCCCTCAGTGTATTTAAGGCCTGTGTTTCTCTCTGTCACTGTTGTGTCGTACCTGCATTACGCTGAGTGGTTTTCCCTCTGAATTGCTGAAGGTTAGTTTTGCTCTAAGTCTGGTTAGTTTCTCTCATTCATGTCACCCAGTTTCTTGTTTTCATTATAAAGTTTACTTTCTATTTGCCATTTTTAAGGTTTTGGTTTGTTTGTGAAGTTATTTCTGATGATGCAATAAAGCTGTCGCTTTCAGTTCATCCCTCTGCATTCAGTGAGTCCTGCATTTGCCTGCCACACAGCACACCATGACAAGATCAGGCTTTGAACAGTAAACACAGCCACACATCAGAAGACAGAAAAATGAAAAAGCAGTAAAAAGCCAGTGGCATGGAAAAATAGGAGGGAGAGAAACAGCTAAACCTGGCATGTGGGGTTCTTTTAAACCATTGTTTCCTAGATTCAAGCATGGAGTGTGAAGGGTTATTTTTGTCATTATAATTTAGTTTTATTTTCATATCAATCATAACAGCTGTTGCCTAAAGGTTCTTTCTATTGTAAAACCCTATAAAATGACCCCTGTACAAGCAAACACTAGGCAACAGTGGGAATGAAAAACTCCCTTTTTAACAGGAAGAAATCAGCTAGAACCAGGCTCAGGTGGGAGCAACCATCTGCTGTGACTGGTTAGGGATGTGTGGATGAAGACAGGACAAAAGACACATGGAAGAGAGCCAGAGGTTAATAATAATTAAATCCAGAGAGGTGTATGAACACATAGTGAGTGAGAAAGGTGACTGAAGAAGTAATACTGATTGCGTCATGGTAATCCCCCAGCAGCCTACACCTATTGCAGCAAAACTAAGGCAGGATTTAGGGTCACCTGGTCCAGCCCTAACTATATGCTTTAGCAAAACGGAAAGTTTTAAGCCTGATATTAAAAGTAGAGATAGTGTCTGTCTCCCAAATCCAAACTGGAAGCTGGTTCCACAAAAGAGGGGCCTGAAAGATGGAGAAATATGCTCTCTTTCTAGTCCCTGTCAGGACTCTTGCTGCAGCATTTTGGATTAACTGAAGGCTTTTCAGGGAGTTTTTAGGACTGATTGTATACTGAGCATATACTTTCACAAGATTACTGCTACGAAACATGAAGATGGACCTGAATCACAAGGCTGTATTTGAACTGATGACTACAGACCTGCTTTCATGAAACCTCCCGTAACCACAGAAAAATGCAACAGGATGTCAGAAACTCAAGAAATTATTACATCTCCTCAAGTGAACTCGTAATGAAGTATTTTTGAGTAATAAAAAGAAGTGAGCAGATGCAGTTTTTGTCCAGAACTTTTAAATAATTTAATACAGTCTTAATACTGTGTGTGTGTGTGTGTGTGTGTGTGTGTGTGTGTGTGTGTGTGTGTGTGTGTGTGTGTGTGTGTGTGTGTGTGTGTGTGTGTGTGTGTGTGTGTGTGTGTGTGTGTGTATTAACATCCCTGAGGAGCTGACGAGTTTTCATCAATAAAAGGAAAGTGGACGACCACAGAGCTGTTAGTCTTTGTTATACACAGGGTGAAATACACTGTTTGGAGCACAAAGAACAGCACTCACTGCTAACAGATACTGCAAACACAGAACAACTACTTAGTGATCTATATATACTGTAGGTCTTTGACTAAGCTTTTAAAAATGGTTTAAAAAAGCAGGAGAACTGGAGCTTATCCTCTCTGGGATAGCGTGAAAGGCAGGTTGCACACCAGACAGGTTTCCAGTCTGTCACAAGACTAAAAAACACAACTTAACAATCTATCCAATTTGAAATCATTAGTTAACACCTATCATGTCTTTAGACTGTGGGAGGAAGAACTCACTCAGCACAGTGAACTGTTTAAACTGCACGTTAGTGTGAGGTGAAGAGTAAAGATAGTCTTCTTTGCAGTGGAAAGTTTTAAACCTTGTGGTCTGAAACTATGAAAGCAGGTCTGTGATGGTTATTGCCACTTAGAAGAACAACCAGAATGCTTTGCAGTCTGTTACTTCCTCATACAGACCTTTATTTTGTCTCATTGCTGTTTTGGGCCTCCTCTTGAGCCAGAAAACAATCAGAACATTTGATATTGGCACATTAAAACCCACGAACGTTGTTCTAATTATTTATTTAATACCTGAAATTTTGTAATCTAAAGAGTACTTTGTGGGCAGCACTTGCCATGGTGGTTAGCACTGTTGTCTTACAGCAAGAAGGTCCTGAGTTCAATCCTTTTGAATGGTCTCTCTGTTTTTGTGTGGATTCACTCTGAGTACTCCTCCAAAAACATGCAGTTAATAAGATAAGGTTAACTGATTATTCTAACTTGCCACATAGGTGTGACTGGTTGTCTGTCCATGGTGTACCCCACCTACCTGGGATAACCTGCAGACACCCTGCTTCCTTAAATTGGACACGCAGAAGAGAATGGATGGACAGACTACATTCAGGATGTTCAACATTATTAATAAAGGACAAATTTCTGCTTGAGAAATACTTGATGCAAATGGAAAGTTTGGTTTGTTTGTGAGAAACTCCAAAGAGCTGCTTTTATCCAAGCTTCATCTTTCCTTTGAATATTGTTTAAAATTGAAAAACATACTAACGTGAGACGTTCATGCAACAAAAAGAGAATAAGTCTCACCTTTTAGTTTCCTGTCAACATGTCGTTCCACCAAAACAACCAGTAACATCACTACTAACACAACACAGACTGTTCCAGCTGTCAGCAACACGGGGACAAGTGGAGAGGAACCAGCAGAAGAGGCAGGCGGAGGTGTGGATGTAGGTGGAGGTGTGGTGGTGTGTTTGTCTAAAATAAAGCAAACACAGTCATTAAGTTGTCGTCACATTGTGAATGTTGAAACCTGCAGAAACACAGACAGGTGAGTGTGTCACCTGTGACAGTGATCCAGCTGGATGGAGACTCTCCATGACCGCTGATGTCACACTTGTAGAGGCCTTCATCAGACCTGGAAACATGCTGGATGGTCATGTGACCTGTAGGCTCCTCCCTGATGAGGGAGCCATCTTTATAGAAAGCAGCTGGGAGGTTGGAGGGAGTGGTCTTTGTTTTACAGAGCAGAGTGACGTCATCTCCCTCCATCACAGGGAGGACAGGACTCTGCAGGATCACTGATCCACCTCAACACAGAGACAAACTACAGCATTTCATCCATTTACACACAGCTTCATCAACACTAACTCCACACACTCAGCTTACCAGTGACTGTCAGGTTAACCATGTTACTGATGGTACTCTGATTGAACTCACACCAATATATTCCACTGTCATGAGGCACCATCATACTTATATTACAGGAAGAACCAGCTGGTTTTCCCCACACATCTCCACACTGAGTCCTCTGTTGTTTGCTTGTGTTTCTCAGAGTCCATCCAGCAGAGCTGTCGTCCTCCTCACAGCTCAGAGACACAAAGTCTCCTTCAAAGAACTGAGTGCTGCTGGGACTCACAGTCAGACGAGCTGTGAGGGTTAAAAATAAAAATAAAAATGTCATGGTTGTGCAAAGCAATGATGATACAACATTCTTTAAATTAGAATTAAAATACTTCTCATGTGGTTCGGGCTGCCAACCCTAAACATTAAAGAAGAAGAATTTAACACATATTTGACATATTTAAAAGAAAATCACTGACCTTGGTTTGTTATCCTGCAAGGCATTGAAGTCAAAACTAAAGATAAGTAAAACTTAGGTTAGCATGTAAAATAATAAAGACTGTAATTAATTTGGCTCGTCCCATCTCGTCTATCTCTGATCTCTTGTCCACTTATAATTATGTGAGTAAGTAATCCTTGTGGGAGGCATACATCAATGTAAAAGAATAACAGACTGTGTTTTTGAACTCTTTAAGAAAAAGATCTATTCATATTCATTATTTTTAGCTTGTTGCTATGTTTATATTTATAGTTCTAGTCTTAAGGTTTGTTACTGTTACGTTCCTCATTTCATCTCAAGTCTCCTTTTTCTTTATGTTTGTGCGTCTCCTGTGTCTAGACTGGGTTCTCTCTCTGTCTCCCTAGTCCGCTGTGTCCTCCTGTCTGTTCTTCTCTGGTTCCAGTGTTAAGACTGTGTCTCTGTGCCTTTGTGTTAGTTATTGCTAAGTTCACAAGAACTCAATAAAATTAAATATTGGAAATCAGAAATCCATCAGTTTATTAGCACTGTGCACATTTCTGCTCCCACATCTCTAACACCAAATCTGTAACGCTGTTCCTTTAGTGATTATTGGATGTTTTCGAATTCACTGTACCCGATGCATAAGAAACATTTGGAAACATGACCGGTGTCGAGAAGGGAAATTATTTTACTGCTATAGTTAAATAATTGTCATCATTACCATTGCATTAATAATAAAATCTGGAGTTTATATTGCATTCAGGGGTTAAACAGTGTCTCTTTTAGAAAGACTGAGTTGCAGGCTGACAGGAAGTTGTATGCAGAAGTGAAAGCAGATAGTTATTTTGAGCCGCAGGCTAAGACGAGGCTTTAACAATGTAACAGATAGCTTTAAGAAGGCCTTAAGCAGTTATGACTATTTCATACACAATGCATATCTGTGCTTATTAAAGAGTTGGAGCTCGGTCAATTAATTGGGGGTCGGAAGCTTTGTTCGGCGCGATGTTCGGACAATCTATTGTGCAAGTGACTTGGAGCCATAGAAGGAATCGCAATACATGCTTACAAAACACTTATATATCAGATCATTTTATATTAAGGTTTTAGTAGAGGTTCTTGGTTAAAACATTTATTTAGTAGAAGACATACACATAGTCTCAGTGAGCTTCTGGTCTGGTAAAAGGTCAGAAGTGCAACAGGTGAATTGAGAAAGAGTATTTGAGGACGAGACACAGACAGTAGGTGAAGAGGTGACACAAAGAGCATGTGAGGTCGTGACACACACACATAGAGTTAAATTTATTCAGAGGAACCGTCCTTGTTGTCTCGGCAAGAAAGAGGAACAATTCATTTTAAGATAAGAACGGAAAGTACCAAGCCATGAAAATAGAAGATGATTTTCTAGGTGAAAAGTCATGGTGATGTTGATCTGATCTATGTATAAAATGTACCGGTGACGCATGAAGGGGCGTCAGTAAACAAACCCTGATGCTATAAAATATCTGTTCATGCTTTGATTAAGTCGAAGACTACTGGCTGTCTGCGTACAGAGTGTCTTCCCACGCGTGTATTCATTAAAATCATTGTTTGACCAAAGACCTTCTGGACCATGGGTGGTGTGTACTCTCCTTCCTCAACTTTGAATCTTAACACCGGTAACAGTAAGCATGAAGTCGCGTGTCCACTTTAAAGTTAAGCTGATATAATAACTAACTAACCTCTGTCAAGTTCACTGATTCACAGGGTAAAATTTCCCCTTTAACCTGCTGCTCAGTCCATTCAGCCTTTTTTCTTCTCCTCCATTATTGTTTATTAACAGAACAGACAGAAAAAGTTCAACATTTAAAAGGAAGACATTCTTCACTTACAGAGCAGAAATAGTAGAGACGCGTCATCCATTGTCCTCTTGACTCATTTTCTCTTTTTGTCATAGAGACACAGTAAACTCCGCCCCCTTCCCCACATACTTTTCTTGCGTATATGTAAGATGTTTGTAAAAAGTAGATTAAAAAAATCAGGACAGAAAATCAAAAATATTGTTTAACAAAAGATAGTAAAAGAGCAGGCTCTCTAATGTTGCTTTTTGAAAAACATCCACTCTTTTTGAATTTGAAGCACCGCATGAACTGAGATCTGGGGAGGACCAACTGATGCAGTTTTGAAAGTACAGTTTTTCCCAGACATACGATTTTAGCAGCTCATTGAGCCTCCACTCTGGAAACTTTCTCTGCCAACAAATGGCTCATAAATCGCTTGTGCAGGCTGCTTTCATGTTGTTTTACACCAGTTCTGATCGAAATGCGGAAGCATTAGACCAGACTATGTTTTTACAATCTTCTGTTCTCTGATGTTGGTGAACCTGTGTGAACTGTGGCCTCAGCTTCCTGTTATTAGCTCTACACTCTTGCTGTTGTTACATCCTATGTGCTGTGCATACCGTGCTCTTCTGCATACCTTGGTTGTAATCAGTGGCTATTTGTGTTGCCTTACTATCAGCTTAAAGCAGACTGGACTCTGACCTCTGTCATCAACAGATGTTTTTTTGGGAAATCCTAGAAAATCAGAAGTTTCCATCTGGCATCAACAACAATGCCACATTCCCCTTTACTTAAATCACCTAAATCAAATGAGAATATCTGTAACTCTAATGCTGTTGCCATGTGATTTGCTTATTACATATTTGCATAAAAAACAGTGACATTTGTACCTAATAAAATGGTCAGTAAGTTTGTACTGTGATCAGAACAGTTCCTCTTTAATAGCATGTTGATTTCAGTGTTTGTTTCTTTATACATATTGTGTGTTTCTCGGCCTTATGTGGGGACAGAAATGAGCTGTTGTGAGTTCCAAGTAAAGCAGTGAAGCTTTACTAGTAAAGCACTGCTATATTAGCAATGGGCTGTGGTTTCAGACTGATATGAGTACAAATGTGAGAGTAACAGATACCACAGAGTGGCTCATCTGTGTGAAACTGGGGCACAAAAAGTACCAGTATATTCAAAAGGTTCAGTTTGCAGGCCTGCATTAACACTAAAAGGTTAAAGATGTATATCATTTAGTGTGAGGTAATATAGAACATTATAAGGAAAAATAACTGATGTTTGTGAAATGTGGATGTTACTCTGAAATGTGCCATCAGCTAAATGCCATTTCAAACCCAACAGCACTCCCCCAACAGGACAAGGATGGAAACAGCATCTGGTGATGTGCATAGGTGGTAGACTTCAGGTGCTCATTGTAGGCAAAGGACTTTAGACCGAGTAAAACCTGTGCTTATATTTAAAACAATGTTAATTTGTCTAATTGTCTTTGAGCCTCTGAAAATGGAGGACTGTTTATAAAAAATGTGTCTTAATTCATTGAATGCAACACACTTAAATTACAGCTGGAAGTTTGCACATCAGTCACATCTTGATTATAGTGTCAAATATTTTGTGGTGGTGCACAGAGGCAAACTATGAACAAACGTGTTTTTTGCCACCAAATGATGTCCATAACTCTAACACCCATTACTGATGATAATACAACTCTGTTACTGTTACAACTTCATTTAATAAAGTGCATGAGATCAGAAACACAACACATAAAGTATCAGAACATGGCTCATCAAATTTGATTACAATACAACTAGTATGTAAGTTGACAAAATACATATAAATACTTCAGAGACACAATCCTTCCCTGAGATTAATGAGCACATATTTTCACATTTATAAAACCTCATTAGAGCCCAAAAACTGAAATCGTTTATTTTTATGTGAATGACATCATGATTTAAAGACTGTGGGTCAGTGAAGAGAAACAGCAACGTGCTCTGTTCTGTTCATCTGGATGTAGCGTTTTCAGTGGACATTTCGTCACTGATCCAAGTGACTTCTTCAGTCAGTCGATAAATTATGATGTAAATTTATAATATGAATTCTTGTCGCATACTTGATTTTGTAATAATATCTTATGATTTGACAAATTGGAGTTGATTCATTATCACTTGCCTCACTTAATAGACCAGAGAACGCTACCACAACTAGAAACCAGGGTTACACTACTTTCCACTGGAGAAAAGCTGGAAAAGGGTAGATATATATTCTTGGGAATATAGTTTGATTCAAAGGTTAGAGCACATTAATAAAGTTGAGAAAAATGTAAATGAGATTTTAAATATAATTAGATAGAGGGCAGCTTTAAAAATGTATATATAGCATTAGTAAGATTAGATGTGGATAAAGTGGATAGGATGCAGGCCAAGGCACTGCGTCTCTGCTGTGGGATAATGAGATCTTTGGCTGCTGTTGATGTGGACATGGGAGGCAACAGCAGCTAAAATTTACTGGGCTTCACTTACAGGTTACAGAGATTTCCATCCAGACGAAAAGCATCTTAACTGGGAGAGAGAAAGGGCAAGGAGGAGTTGTTTTGAGTGGAACGATGAGATCACCAACCGTGTTTATACCTCCTACTCATCTCTGCAGATATTGAGGACGGACATTCAGTAAAATACAGCCTTGCAACAATAACATAAAGACAACTGTAATGTCTGCGAGCATGGGGCAAAACAGAACCACAGGTCCTCACTGACTGGACAAGCACACACACTCATTTATATCATTTCTCAATAACTGTTTCCAGTTGGACCAGCTTCTACATATATCACACAGACACATGTTACAGCATGAGTGCATGTTTTTAACATATAAGTGTAACAATATTTGAATCCTTTAATCACCCATCAGATCTTCATTTCTGGATCATCCATTCAACCAAGTCATTGACAGCACTGCTCTGACACAAAGTCATAGTAGTATATGCACCCTGCTCTCTGCCTTCCTTCCTATTTTAAAACAGTTTGTTTTCTTGTCCACCGTTAAAGCGTTTCAGAAAATTGCATCTATTTTAATCAGTGATGTGTAAAATAGCTGAGCAAATATTTTTAGTGTTAAAATTCAGTTAATGAAAAATGTAAACTTGATAAATACGATTTGATTCATCAGATAAAAGCACGACAAGTTAAACTTTGTGCACTCAACGCCTCATAGTATCGTGCACCACCACTCCAGAGGAGTAGATGGCGATAATACACTGTGGTCTACAGGAACCAGGGAAGAAAAGATCAAATCCATGGTTTACAGTTTTTTCCGAATGCTTAAACCCAAACTGTGATTCCTGCAGCACAATTTCTAAAACTATTCAGACTTATAGCAAAACCACTCACTGAGTTTGCAAAACTAAAAGCACAAAAACTGCTTTGCACTCAGTTTGCAATTTTTTAACACACACTTTGCAAAACTGTAGGCACAATTCACTGCACAACACTCACTTGAAGTTTGGATCCCTCCATGCTTATGGATCTATGACAGAAGTATGAGCTCAAACTGACATAGCCTACCTTGTGCACAGGGAAAGCAAACGCCAGATGTGTTTTGTATTCATACCATCAGTGTGCAGTTGGCGCATTGTGTGCTTAGTAGATGATGGCTTGTGTGTACTGTTTGATACGGAAACACCATTTTTACGAAGGTGTGAAGAGTTAATCTAGCTGTGTTTGCTTTTGCAAGAGAACTACAGTGTTTTGATAATTGGGTGACAGGTTTTCTTATTTGTGTGAAGAGTTTTGCAAAATTAGCCAATAGTTGCAAAAAAAGGGCTTAAGCAATCAGAAAAAACTGTAACACTAATTTGCCAACTGTCTGGCACACTTCCACATGTGAAAACTGTTTTAGATAAGTAGTCCACTTTGCAGTCAGCCTAAGCACTATAAACAGGCCACAGGTAAGCTGTCCATGTGGAGTACAATGGAAGGAGCAGTAAGAGCGAGAAGAGTGAGAATCAGAGGAGGCCGAGGGAGAGGACGTGGAGGTGAAGAAGTTGGAGGAAGAGGACGTGGAGGTGAAGAAGTTGGAGGAAGAGGACGTGGAGGTGAAGAGGTTGGAGGAAGAGGACGTGGAGGAGCAAGAAGAGGACGAGGAGGGGAAAGAGGAAGGGTAAGAAGAGTACGAAACAAAATAACTGATGACACCAGAGCTACAATAGTGGACCATGTCATCAACCATGGGATGACCCTGAGGGAAGCTGGCCAACGTGTTCAGCCTAAACTGAGCCGCTACACTGTGGCAAGCATCATTAGGACATTTCGAAATGAGAATCGGTAAGTACTTTGTAGCACTGCCATACTCTAATGAGAAACACAACAGTACCATACATGCAAAAATACTGAAATTGTTACTTTACAGAATTGCTAGACGTCCAGATGTTGGGGGCAGAGGCAGAATGTTCACTCCAGAGCAAGAGACCCATATAGTGAACATGGTGATTGCCAATAATGCAATAAGACTGCGTGAAATACAGCAGCGCATAATGGATGATGACACCATCTTTCAAAATATACACAGTGCAAGCATTTCTACACTAAGTCGTGTACTTGCGCGCCACAGAATAAGAATGAAGCAAATTTACAGAGTTCCTTCGAGAGGAACACAGAACGTGTAAAGCAACTGCGATATGACTATGTGCAGGTAAGCTAGTGTCATTGGTTCTGGATTTGGAAGTGCATACTGTAGTGCTGTGCATGGGCCTGATGTGTTGCATTTGTTTTGTCTTGTCCAGAGAGTGATGGAACTAGAAGCAGATGCAATGGGACATGAGCTACTTTTGTAGATGAGGCCGGTTTTAACCTCAGTAAAACCAGGAGACGTGGCAGGAACATTATTGGACACCGTGCCATCATCAATGTCCCAGGACAACGTGGTGGTAACATAACCATGTGTGCAGCTATAAGCCAAAATGGTGTTGTTCACCATCATGCAACCATAGGCCCATACAACACTGCACACATTATTGCATTCCTGGACACCTTGCATGACATGCTCACTGTTCAGAGACCAGAGCAGACCCGATATGT